CTCTGGCTGAAGAACCCTGTTTCACAGCTCATGGATGTGCAGGAACCATAGCTTGGAGATCCTGGCAGCGAGGATGCCTGTGGGTTTCTCTCTAGGTTAAAGATGGAGGGTAGACTAAACCTCAGCTAACAAGGACCAAAGGGCTGGTTTGCTGGCTGCAATTAAATGGAGTCCTGGGTCACTCCTTGCCACTTCCTGCTGGGTTTCCCTTCTGTAGGGCCAGGCTTTATAAGGTAGGAGGAGCCAAGGTCCTGCATGTGAGATGACAAGCTCCCTCGCAATACGCTGGCCCGTAACTGTGTGGGCTTAAAGGGCCCTCTGATAGAATCCAGGTGACTCTGTTCTCTCTATAAAAATTTAAAATCCCATTAATTGCTCATATGGCCTGCTTTCTAATTTTGAATATTTTCCTGGACTAACTCTTCAGAAGCGAAGCAATAGCTAGACAAAGGGACACATGATCAAGAATTACTTTTTGTCTGTCTTTCAGGACCAGTCCCATGCTCCACAGAGAAGGCCTTGGGATTATACCCAGAAACAGACTGGTCAGGGTCCCTAGCTGTGCAAGTCAGGAATGTCAGGAATCTCTCTCTCTGTCTCTCTCTGTCTCTCTCTCTCTGTGTGTGTGTGTGTGTGTGTGTGTGTGTGTGCGCACATGCAAGTGTGTGCACATGTGTACCGGTGTGTGCATGTGTGTGTATGAGTGTGCACATACCGGCTTTGGATACACCTCACTGAGTTAACAGTTAGCTTTATTTTATTACAGTACATTGAGTTCATTTTGCTTCAGCAAGCCAATCCTCTGGCTGATCATGCAAATGCATTTGGTCAGACAACCTATACTGCTCACACATGAGACAAAATACTATTTTCTTAAGACTCATCATTTCAGAAAATATGAAGTCCTCACTAGATGACATATGTTTGCTCAGTCAGAATCGGGGAGAACCTCGGGGGCTGCCAACTATCTTTCCTTCTGTTTCCAGCTTTTGTCACAGGCTCCTCTTCTCAGTCCCCGTTCTGCAGGATCCTATATGAGCCTGTATGAAGCTTCTCCAATCAAGAGAGAAGTCATCGGCATCCTAGCATAGATTAATTTTTGACAAGTTTCTAGGCATCAAACCCGGGGCCATACACAACCTAACAAGCTGCCATTGCTCCAGCCTCCTTCTTTCTTTGTTTCCTGAGTAGAAGTGTGATTTCTAAAGCTGAAGCAACTTCTTTCAGATTGTGAAATCAAAATCAAGAAAAGCAAAAATTAATTGGCTCTGGGGCCTCCAAATCATTGAAACAACACTCGCAGGTCGTTACCTTCAGGTGTCTATTGTCATGACTTAAGTTTTTATTAGTCAAATATTCTGCTACATCTACCCTAGCTGAGATACGTGAAATACATTTAGTTCTACAGCCCAGAGATCCCATGGCAAAGTCAGAGCTGGGTGGGAAGACAGGTAAAAACTGGAATCCGGCAGGTGGACCCCCTCTGTTGACTGGCTGGATTCTCTTAGTCTTGTTCACCTTCTATCTCAAGAATTGAGACTCTAAGTAGTTCATTTAAGAAAAATTAATCCCTAATAAACTCTTTCCTGAAAACCTCTGGAAATGATGCCATAAGGATTGGTCAGCCAGCTGTATTATGGAAAGCCAGGTTCCCTCCAGCCAGAGTCTTAGCATCATGGCATCTGACAGAGGAAGTTGTACTGACAAGACCATGCATGCCGTCTGAGCCCTGGCTGACCTTGGCACATCCCCTTGGTGTGGCCTGTCTTTCCAGGGACAGCTGGCCTGTCAGCCCCAGGAGTCCACTTGTCTCTGCCTTCCCATATCTTGGACTATAAGTGAATGCTATCACACCTAGCTTTTTTTTAGTTTTATTTATTTTTATGTATAGGAGTGTGTTGCCTGCATGTATGTATGTGTACTGTGTACATGTTTAGTGCCTGTAGTGTTCAGAAGATATTGAATCTCCTGGAACTAGTGTTACAGATGGTTGTGAGCCTGATGTGGAATGTCTTTCTGTATGCTCTGAATAACTGCTGTTGCCATTGGTTAGTAAATAAAGCTGTTTTGGCCTATGGCAAGAAAGCTTACAGCCAGGCAAGGAATCCAAGTGGAGGGACAGAGAGAAGAAGGGTGGAGTCTGGGGAGCTGTCTAGCCGCTGCTGGGGGAAAAGCAAGATGCCAGCAGTCTGGAAATGCCATGGCCACGTGGCAAAACATAGATTAATAGAAATGAGCTAATTTAAGATGAAAGAGCTAGCTAGCAAGAAGCCTGCCATGGGCCATACAGTTTGTAAATAATATTAAGCCTCTAAGTGATTATTTTATAAGCAGCTGTGGGACCACAGGGCCTAGCGGGACCGGAGAAACCTTCCGGCTACATGAGCCATCATGTGGATGCTTGGAACCAAATCCCAGTCTTCTGAAAGAATGACAAGTGCCCTTAACCACTGAGATATCTCTCTAGCCCCAGTTTTACACCTGACTTTTAAAACTATGGGTTCTGGGGAGAAAATTTAGGGACTAGTGTTTGTCAGGTAAACTCTCTGCTGACTGAGCTGTCGTTCTGATCCCTGCTCTTGGGGGATCCCAACTTTCTGTTATCTCCCCCAACTTCAGCAACCCTGCCTCTTCTCCTCTTATAAGTGCATACAACTGTCCCGCCCCCAGGTACCCCAGCATCTAACACTAGGCTGTAGCTTACCCTTTATTATTCGGTATCCATGCATCTTCTCTAAGTTTCAAGCTGCATCTGAACAAAGATTCCCTCTTCCATGCTTCTGAACGGACCCTAGTGCATTGTCCAGAGCCTGGAAAATGGCAAGCGCTTCTCAGGTTCTTGTGAGTGTCTCTGTTCCTCTTCATCCGAGGTTTAGACCTGAGGACACAGGTGTGGGAATTTGTTCAAAACAGGTACCTTAGCAGGCACACAAAGCACCAGAAAGCATCTGAGAGCCCTACCTAAAGGAGAATCAGGCATCAACCAGAGCCTGAAGAAATGAAGTCTCGTCCTCCTTTTGCTGTGCTGGAAGGATCCAGGTTGCATGCTCTTGAAATACACAAAGATGAGGCTGCATCTTCCCGGCCTTGTTTCATCAGTTGGTATTCTTCCTTCCCTTAGGTCTTACCATGGCCCAAAACAAGAAACAGATGTTCACATTCAAAAAAAGTTATCCCCTGAGTCAGTGTGGCTGTTTATCCAATTTTCACCCTGTCATCCAGACTTAGGCTCTGCCCTGTGAGGCTCAAACAAGTCGGAATGTAGGACTCTGGTCCAGGGAAGATTTGAAGAGAAGAAAGGGAGAGGACCCCACAGTGGGATTCTGCGGAGGACACTGCACCCTAACGGATGTCAGGATGAAGGCTGCCCATCCCACGAGTTGTCCCGTTTGTCCCTAACTTGGGGCCTGTGCTCCTACCAGCCTTCTTCTCACAGTGAACATAGTTGGGGGTGCCCCACTGCTCCGTCCGTCCGTCCTGCACCACCTCCCCAAAGGAAGAGAAATGCTTCAAGTTTCCTGAGCCAATGACTCCAGAGTGTTGTTCCACACCGGTGGCTCTCTGTCCCCGGTTACCCTAATGTGTTGAGTTTGTCTGATTGCCACTGGGCAGTGGCAGAGCCATCAGTGTCCACAATGTCTCTCTTTGGTCATCTTCAGACAGCCTGGTTTGCCTGCTTCAACTCCTTGGCTGCAGCATTATCTTAGTAAGTTGTCTGCGCAAGGAGAACAGAGGAGGAGAGAACCTTCTTAACTCAATTTACTGCATCTCAGGGGGCGAGCATTGAAAGCTCAGCTCGGACTGCAACATCTGTGCGAAAGAAGCGCGTCTAGGGACCCGCCGTCAGTTTCCCTGTCTTAAGCATGATCACCATGTACGTTCACAAATAAAAACATGAAATGTTCTGACAGCCAAGCAAAGCATGAAGAATTAAGCTCCCTAAACAGGGAAATAGGAACACCACACTCCATCTTGCTTGCGAGGAAACCCCTTCGTTTCCAGACTTGGTCCCCACGCCCATCCCCAGGTCTGGTTGAGTTCATCCTAGGAGACATGTTTCTGCACTAGGGCAAGATTCCATTTGGAGAAGGAAGGATACTTGTTTTAAGGACTGGCTTTTTGTAATGATAAAATCAGACTTTTCCAGAGAGGCTGTCGGAGGCAGTGTCTCCAGGGGCAGCCAGAGAGAGGTTGATGGAGAAAGCAGCAGTTCCCCGGCGACAGCCCTGTGAGCCTCAGGGCTGGTCCTTTGAGTCTGAGCTTCCAGGTCCTCCTGCTTCTGCATCCTCTTACTGCTATAGTCCTGCTCCACTCACAGCCAACTTGAGACAAGCCAGACCTGTCTATGTTCTTGGACGACTTCAGCCAGGCTTGCTCCTCCCCACCCTGCCTCTGTCTGCGATGCCTTCAATCCTTGACTCTGGAATCACTGACTGCATCGTCTCCTGTGCTACACTCTGGGGCTCCGGCTGCTGCTGGCTGCTGGGCTTCTCCTGAGCAACATGGCCTCTTGGCCTGGAGCATGAGTGGAATCCCTCCTCATATTATATATGAGCCCCTCAATGATGCCTTCTCTAGGGGCTCATCCCATAACAAATGAGTGTAATGGAGTGCTCCCAACATGAGGAACCATCAATAAATACGTCGATTATTGTAGATTTTGAATCCCCCAGTGGGGGCTCCAGGAAGACAGCTTCCTCCTACCCCCGACATTGGTGTCTCTTCGTCTAATTGGCACTTAATAATTTGATAGGCAGGGTTAGGCTGAAGGAACTTTTAATTTTATTTCAAATTGTAAAATACCTTTATGCTTGAGAACTTAAAGTAAAGGGGCAGCAGATTCAGTGTGCGACTTCTATCTGGTGCCCCGTAAGCCATGGAGCCTAATATTCTAATATTCTCTCTCTCTCTCTCTCTCTCTCTCTCTCTCTCTCTCTCTCTCTCTCTCTCTCTGCCTTCCTACCTCTCTTTCTTCTTCCCCACTTCTGCTTCCAATCCAGGAGAGGAATAGGTGAACTACCGTACGATTTCTCCAAAGCTCGGGCCAATCAAGCAATTATGGACTGAACCCTCCAAAACCAAACCGTGATCTGAATGAAACTTTTCCCTCTCAAGCTGATTTGTCTGGGTCCGGGGACAGAAAGGTCCGGGTAACATAGTGTGCGCTTGTCAAACACATTTCTGTATCATCCATTAGAAGAATGAGCATGGCCCCAAGCTTAGCTATATCTTAGAGGCCAAATAGTTAAAGAGTATGTTTTGTACCAGAATTTTAATGACTTGCTTTTACTTACGTGATGCGTTAGATGAGTCTGGTTTCTCCACCTACCGGGGTGTCCAGCTTTCCACATCCCAGCACAGTGTTGTCATCTATAACATTCACGTCTGAGAGCTGCACAACTCAATTTTAAAAGTCACAAAATCCTGTCACTGTTTTAAGTAAATTGATATAGTTTCATGTTGGGTAAGCTTCACTGCTATTCCTTACATTCATACATTCTGTTACCAGCAAATTAGAAAATATAATCAATCAGCTGATGTGTGGAAATATATATGATTTTAGGGACTGCCCAATCTGTAGAACCCCCCAGAAGGCTGACAAGGAGGCGTTGGTATGTCTCATAGTCTTGAGTTGGAAATCTGTAGGGTGGAAAGTAGACGGTGTTTCTACATGGCAGACTTCCCTGCTTCAGGACACCCAGGTTTTCGCTCTGAGGCTCCTCAACACGTTGGATGAGGTGGATGGAGAATCATCTGCTTTACTCAAATTCTACTGATGGAAATGTTACTCACATCTTAGAAATACCTTCACAGTAATGTCTAGACTGCAGTTTGTCCTGACACCTTCTCCCACAATACACACAAGTTGACAAAATCAATCATTAGAAACAGACAGAGAACTCCAGCAAGTAACACTGTTTCTCAACAAATGTGGGGAATTCCTTTATTTTAGCTAAATTTTTATGAAACATTAAAACCAGAAAACCTACTGGTCCCCAGTATGAAACAGTGGGAAGTCTTGAAAGTCCTCTTGGCACAGAATAGTAGAACAAAGTCCCCAAGTGATTTCTGTATTTGGAAAACATTTCAGAGCCATCCCACTAAGTTCTAGAATAAACATTGGGAAAACTAATCAGTTTCATTCAAAATAAAATGAGAAAGAAAGAATGAGCTGAAAGAATCACTATGGGGGGAGGTGCTTCAGTTTGCTGTTATGAACAGTGTAAGGCACATCCTGTTAAGAATTCATTCATGCCGGGCGTTGGTGGCGCACGCCTTTAATCCCAGCACTCGGGAGGCAGAGGCAGGCGGATCTCTGTGAGTTCGAGGCCAGCCTGGGCTACCAAGTGAGCTCCAGGAAAGGCGCAAAGCTACACAGAGAAACCCTGTCTCGAAAAACCAAAAAAAAAAAAAAAAAAAAAAAAGAATTCATTCATTTGAAATTTTATGTCTATGAGTGTTCTGCCTGCACATATTTCTGTGCACCATGTGTTGCGGCGCCAAGGAAGTCAGAAGAGGGCAGTTATGGCAGTTATGAGCCACCATGTGGGTGCTGGGAACTGAACCCAGGTCCTCTGCAAGAGCAGCAAGTGCTCTTACCCATGGAGCCGTCTCTCTGGTCCCAATCAAAGTCTTCAATACTGCAGCAGGAACCTCGTGAGAGGAGACAATACCAGCACTGAGAAGATACCCACACAAGAGAAAGGTGAGCTTCTTCCCCTACCTCTTTGCCTTTAAATGTTATTTTTATGACTTCTTGGCTTAGGAAAAAGACTCTTTAAAAACCATGACCCAGTGTCATGGAGAAAACACAGATCTCTTGAACTAATGGCAGTCGTTGAAAACTCCTTTAGTGATGTTCAGCTACAAAGGAGGAGAAAAAAAGAAGGAAGAATGAACTTCGCAATAAACGACCTTCAGGGAAGAAGACTATTCATGCTAATTAGTAGCGCTCTTCTTATATGCATTAGGCCATGCCACGAAGAACAATGGGCACATTGTGGTAAACATCAAGACAAGCCTCAAGTACAGTTATCAAAATTTTAGAAAACTCAAGCCAGGGAGTTTTTCATAAGCTTATGACTTCTGCTCCCGGCATACTGCACAATAGTGTCTCTCCTAATGGCTTTTAGCTTTTGCCACTGCCAACTTTTATATTTAAAATCCATACAATTATGGACAATTTGTGCGCATTATGAGGCTTTTCTTTTTTGCACCAAGTCTTACCGATGCGAGCCAGCTTTTAGCCTTAGCAAATCAAATGCATTTTGCTTACAACACTCGATTCGTTCTCACATATTCCACTTTATTCTTATCATTAGTATTCCTTATTATGCATATTTAATTTAAGAATGCATTTTCTCCATTAAAAAATTAGAATAAGCTGAAAGACGTTCCGGAAGGGGAAGCGTTTGCTGCAGTTTACCTTCATTAACCATGTAAGCCCTGATGGGTTCTTCCCGAAGTTGCCAGCAAGAGACAGAAAGGTTAAAAAGCGAAAAATAGAATAAACCAAGATTTGCTTGAAAAATCACAGTTCTCTTTAACATAATGATAGCATAGGCAGGTGTTGAGTTCAAATAAGATAATGCTAAAAAAAATAAAAAAAGCTTCAGTTTTGTGTGAATGGAGAAAGGGCATAGATTTGCTTGAGTTCTTCAGTCAATCACCATGAATTAGGTTTCTTTAAAATCCCATCCAGATCAGGTGTGGTGGCACACTCCTATAATCCTAGCACATGGACAAGTGGGCCCGAGAATCAGTTCTACACCATCCTCAGCTACCCAGCAAGCTCAAGGTCCCCTCGCGCTACATGAGACACCATCTCGAAAGTGTAAAAACAAAACACCTAGTCAGCAGACATACCTTGCAATAGTAAAATGAAGGAAAGAAGGTGTGCGCTCAGCTGTTTACTATAGGTGTATAGGAACTTCAGAGACACCCCCCCCCAAATGCCCACACCTTAGGGAGTATAGTCCCATCCCGCTTCTACCCAGCCTCCAATGGTAACAGTACAGGACCAAGACTTAGCTTTATATTGAAGCCCTTTAGCAAAAGAACTGGGGATTTGGGGTAGAAGAGGAGAAGGAGGAAGAGGAGGAGGAGGAAGAAGAAGAGGAAGAGGAGGAGGAGGAAGAGAAGAAAAAGAAGAAGAAGAGGAAGAGGAAGGGGAAGGGGAAGGGG